TGCTGATGTTCTGCATCGCAGTATAATTAGACATACTGCAATGGTTTTAAACCTGAGAAGTACAAACATCAAAACCAGCCCTTAGCTGAGCATTTTCCCGTTGATCGCTCTTCACCTGTAGCTGAAGTATCACAGTAACTGTCTGTACAGAGCAGCAGCTAATAGTGGAATCCCAGGTCTCCTTCACATCCATGTAAGATACAGGAGACTCTGCCTAAATGCTGTATTGGTGTCATTATATGGTTGTATTTCTCACAAGCAAGTTTCAGCCATAGGACTCCTTGTTTTCCAGATTAATATGTGTTCTTTCCTTTACATGGTCATTCAAGCTGCTCGTCTCAGGTCAGCTGCCTGGGGAGCACGTTCTGCGAGGAGGGGTGCGTTCATGGTTAGGGAGCAATAGGTACTACAGCTCTCTGCAGGAGCCAACGGGTTTGCCGTGCTGTGGAGGGCAGAGGGCTGCTGTAGTTAAAAGCTGAGCTGCTCTCTTCCACTGAGCACAGCTGGGGTGATCCCTTCAGCCTCAGGATGGCTGAGGAGGGCTCAAAAGGGGCTTGAAAATGAAAGCTGCTGCTGTTGCTTCAGAGTAGCAATTGGGCAGTCCTTCCCTGGCACACTGTTGTCTTGCTCAGTTAGACACAGTAATCAGAGATGCCTTGTTTTGCTGCACACTTCCTTTGAGCGCTCTTTGCCCCACTGGGGATTTTGCACTTGGTAGTCTGGAAGGGCTCTGGGCCTGGGCACTCCCTGACCTTGTAGCTCAGGAGTGATCAGCCTGTGGCTTTGGGTGCAGGTGGCCTGCGAATATTTCAAGTGCAGCATCCAAGTCCCAGCACTGCCACATGAGCAGCGGTGGGGCTGGGTTAGAGTCCTCGCAGCAATAAAGAAGCTAGCAAAGGCTGCTGGGGCTGGAACTGCCAGAGACCTCCGGTGCCACGCTCAGCCTGCCTCATCCTGCGGGCACCAACTCGCTTCCCAAAGAGCCGTCGCTATCGCCTGCCTGTCAGCTGCTCCTGGAGTACCCCTCGCCTTCAGCTCTCACCCCTGCTGAGCTTCAGACCAGGACGGGTAAGCAAACACAAAACAGACCCCAGTACAGTCTTAAAATGTCCGCTGGCCTCAAGTTCACCAGGATGAGAATCATCCATAGCTGTTTTTGAGACTTACGACATGATAACTGCCTTTTTATTGACCAGTGCCCTGCCTTACCAGAAGTCACTTCAAACGAAGGTCCGGTCTGATGGATGGTGTCTCCAACAAAACATCAGTTCTCTGACTCTGTCCCATGGCTTGGGTACTGGATATGGACTTGAAAATCTAAGATTATGTCAAGACCAAGAAGGCTGATAATTATCCAGTTCCAAAATTATTAGAGCAATAAAAGGATTAATGAAGTGTTTAAAATCGTAATTCTGATCTATTCTGAAAATTGCTCTTAAAGCTTCCTTAATTCCCTTTCTATTCTCTTTTTCTTTTCTTTCCTTTGTGATTTAGGAGCAATTTGCTCCTACACCAAAGTGTAAATGTCTGCCTTTGACAGAAGGAAATTGCTGATCTGGTGCATAGATTTCAGCAGTGGATGATTTTGATTCACTGGAACTTGCAGCGAGGATGACAGATGTTAGCTCCTGAAACAGAGAGGCTGCATAAAGCTGTTCTGAAACAGCCCTCAGATCTATACACTTGCTAATCAAGTCACAGTGAAAGTGCTAAACTTCTCACTCCTAAAGTGTATCAGGTTTGGTGCTAGACTTCTAATTGAATCACCGACTGACATTTTTGGCATTCTCTCTTCGGTCTTTATAGTACAAGACACTGCTGCAAGGTAAAAAGATTCTGTGGATTCCTTCTGGAAGGGAACCTAGACAGGGAATCTTTCTATTTTGTATTGCCATTACCACAAAGAAAGTTCAGCATCCCTTATTCTATGAGGCTTCATATGGAGCTGAAAGCTGTTTTTTATGATGTTTAGTATATACATATAAAAGAATAGTGCTTGAGTACTTACTGATATTTGTTGGTTTTAAATATGTTTCAGATCTGTTTGCTTATAAGATAGGTATTCCTGGGTGCTGTCAGCAGAGCTAGCCCGTAGTCTCTGATGGACAGAACACCGACAGATGTCACACTCGTCCCCAGCTATTATCAAAAATGTCAGTGTACATGCCAACAAAATGTACTAATTTTTACCAGTGTACTGAACTACAGTCATATTTTTGGTGCCAGTATAGCTGGACTATCGGCCTCTCGAGTCTCCTGCCCTGCTTTGTACTGTCCTACTTCTTCCCTCCAGAGCTCTGTTCCCCATGCAGTTTCTGCTCCAGCAGAGGAAAGCAGTCTTTCCAAAGGGCAGTGCTAGGGAGAAGGTCCCATGTCCTGGAGTCAAGAGGGGTGGCACCACACGTTCTGCCCTCCCAGAAAGTCCCAGCTCAGTAGCGTCACTGCATGTGGTGATACCGCAGCGCTTAACAGCAGGTTCTCTGCATTTCTGGGGTTCTCCAGCACCACAGGTTTCCCCCGGATCTAGAGTGAGCACATAATCATATTTCTGTCAATTTAGCCAAGGCATAGGGTGATGATGTTTGCGTCAGCTTTATGCTTTTATGTTGGCTTTATGTTGGCTCTGGGAGGAGAGGTGTTATCTGACCTGGCAGAAAGCGTGAGCTGTAGAGGGAGTGATACCTCATCTGGCATAAAACCTGTCAGTACAAAATTAAGTCATCATTTTTCTTTATTTGAATTGGCAGTGTGAGTTCATTCCGGATAAGCACTTTCATCATGTGTCTGGCAACATTTCTGACAGAGCCTTAAAGCGGGATTTACTGAGTTGTGGGACCACAAACTTATTGTTTGAGCTTACTCTGATAAAAAAGCAGGGAGCTACTGGGTGGTGGTTTTTACTAGGTTTCAGAACACTCCTACCCAGAACAGTTTTCTAGCTAGGAACAATTTCCTCCTCCCCCATGCCCCCCCCCCAATACCCTCAAAATTCCTATCTAACCAATAAACCTCACCCCGATACAGCAAATCCATGGATTAAAGTTTCATATGTAACTTTTGACACACTCTCCCAAACTAAACCTTTTGTGCAAATGGGAAGAAGAATCCTTTTGTGGTGTGGAAAGTCAACAAGGCATAAATCACTATTTTGTTTGTTCTGCTGCTAGACATGCTGAACAACAAACCACCACCAGACCTGTGAAATTCTCCCATTAATCCTAGTGGAGCGGACTGATTATGTCCAATACTCTTGGGACCATGAAAAAATGCTTAAACATATTCCACTGACTAAAATGTAGTGTTTTCCTAGTTGCAGTAAGGATGGTGTTATGCACTAGCTCGAATACTCGGAATTAAATGACTTCACACTGAACTTTTTGATCTTTCTCTACCTCATTGTCAAAAAACTATTTGAAAATGGAGTGGCCTAAAAACATAACATAACTTCCAAAGAATAGAAGGCATCGGCTAAAAGTTTAGCCTTTCAATACTTCTGTTTGCTAATGAATCCTTGGAGTAAACAAGCACTCTTTTACCCAGTTTCTGCACAGCACTTGCCTTTTGTTTCAGATCCAGTACACTGTGTATGAGGTAATGCCTACATCTCCTAGGCCAGGAATGTATTCAGATTGGGCACTGAAACAGGGCAGGAGGATAAAACCTGCTCTTTGCTAAACACAGGGTGAACTTCAGCTCAGCTTCCAGATTGCTGTGCTCAGAGGAAAGAATTAGGACTGCTTGTCTGAACACAAAAAAAAAAAAATCACTTGATCAGTTTAGCAACTGGTTCAAAGCTTCACATAGATGCTCTCAAATGCATTCAAAACACATTATGTATACATAAATATATGTTTTAAATTAAGTATCTTCTAACAAAATTGCATCAATTTGAGTCAGCTGAAGACTACTCTGTCCTCAATACAAATATTGTTTTTAAATTCACTCATTTAGGAGCAGGTGGTGAAGCTGGTTTCCTGAGGTAGAGGCCGAAAGGACCCTAGTGCTGACTGAGCTATAGGAACCCTCTGAAAAATAAAAAAGAACCCCTCTGCACAGCTATCATGAAAATGCAGATCTGTTTCACCAAAGAAAGCTCCTCTGCATTCCTGACACGACATTAGAGTTCAAAATAATTTTCTTTAGACATCGAAGTCAGACAAGCACAATTTTCAGAAGTACATTAAATAGTATTTATTGAATTTGCGTTTTCAGGGGCAAAGCTATAATCTCAGTCCCAGCTATTCACATCCTGTGGCATTGAGCCCTCATGTTCTTTCACCCATTCAACAAAAGAACAATAACATGGAACATCATAAAGAGAGGGGCTGAAAAAAAACACCCCTATATTCTCAGCTTTGAAGACAGGAAACAAACTGAAGCCTTGTTCTCATTCACAAATACATTTGCCTTCTTGATTAAACATAGTATGTTTTTATGGAAGAACAGACTAGTCCTCCTGATGTTTGGGAGAAGGTATGGATGGTTGATCTGAAAGAAAGTAAAGCTATGGAGAGCATTGAGAGCTCTTCTGTACAAGCACAGTGACAGCTGGATGGTTAATGCAGACTTCAGACTGCAAGGAATTCCTCACAAGAGGGAGGGATGCTACCAAATATCCAGGTGGGAAGAGCCCCTCTTCTCCGGAAGCCTTTGTGTCTGGGACTGATTCTGTGGGTGTGTATGGTCAACAAACCATCAAGAGTCTGCCTGTAAAATCTTATGGCAGAGCTTGTTTTCATTTTCATGACAGTAACCCTTCTGCATAGTAAAAAAAGACATCACACAATATACACAGATCCATATTTACAGAATAAATGGCAAAGAGCAAATTAGATACAGTGACATATATGTCCAAGCATTAACAAACGATCCCTTGTGTGGATTCAGGGGTTATTCACAGTTTGTTTAAGCATGTCCTTTTCTCTGCACATGGGTTCTCTTGTTTTGCAAATGAGAGCCAGCAGGATGCCTCACTGTAAGAAGCAGATGCTTGTTCTCCCTTAAACCATGGTCATGACCTTCAGAGAGGCAGGTTGGAATCTCCTAATCTTCTTCTTTAGTGCCTTTGAAGCTTTGATGCGACAGATTTTGGGCACTGGGGGAAGAGGCTTGGAAGAGGCCTGGACAGTCCCCGATTGTCTGACTGAACCTTCAGGCCAAATCAGCTCACTTTCATCCCCCTCATCGTAGTCAAGGGCAAGGCTGCTGCTGTTACTGCTGCCATCCGAATCGCTTTCACTGGATTCACTGTCCCCGAAACGGTTAGTCGTGAAATCACTGACCTCTCCTTCGCTGGTCTCTGCGATGGTGGAGTGAAAGAGTGAAGCGCACTCTGCAGAGTATTCAGAGTGGTCTGACTCGCTTTTGGCGTAAACTCCATGGCGCTGACTCTTGGAGCGAGCCCTCATACTGACAGTGCGCAGGACACCAGCTCTCCTTGCTGGCAGCCTTGGCGCTCCGAGGCCAAAGCTACTAGAGAGGCTGGCCAGGTGGGCCTTGGCAGAGATCTCCACTGTGGACTGCCACTTGCGCTGCTTCTTCTTGTTGGCTGTGTCTACGCAAGCTGCTTCGAGGGAATACAGTGCGTTGGCAGAGGCTCTGTAGGGCTCTGGCCTGGATGGCATGGTGGGGAGCCTGACCTGCACAGGGAACAGGCTAGACTCGGAGCATGACCTGCCGGTTGCGTCACCAGAATACGAAGGTCTCCGCACGAGGCTCTTTGTTCCGTGTGGTCTTTGGGGCTGATTCCACTCAGCAGGCAGTCTGGCAGCTCCATGGACCCCTCTCACCTTCTCCATGCAGAAGGCCTGCTTCCCAGGCCGTAGCACCTTTTCACTATTCCTCCTCTTTACCTTCACTGCCTTTGTTTTGGAGCTGGCAAACTTGACCCGGACTTGGTGGGATTCTGCAGGGACAAACTGAGCATGAACGAACTCACTCCATGCCACTCTCTCGTGACCCCCAGCATTAGCCAATTTCGCATTGCCACACCTTTTGAGGGGCAGCTTTCTGGGTGGGATGGCTTTAGCATTCCAGGTGCCTGGACTGGAGTCCTCCTGGCACAGCTGCGAGCCGGATGAACTGCGCTCCACGCTGCTCTCCGTTGCTTCTGCCAGAGGAGAGCCCCTTGCTGCTGACTTGGCAGGATAACAACTATTCACAGCTGATGGCTCTGTGTCAGGCCGAGTGGATGGCTGCTCTTCATTCACACAGCGCATGGTCTCCTGCTGCTTGGCACATTCCCCCTCCGGCACCTCTCTCTGCAGCTTCCCTTCAGCTTTGTTACTTTCCAGAGAACTCACTTGTTTTTCCAGCTGGCTACTGCTGCTGTTAATTTTCACTCCACCGGTGCTGGGGGTTATAATGAGTCTCTGGTGCATTGTGGCTGGCTGGCTCTTTGTTGAAACCCACTCACTGGCATCAGCCCGATTGTTCCCTTTGCATCTCGTCAGCTGCAGTAATTTATTGATGTAACCCCCTGGCTTGGCCTCAGTGGTTGGCCTAGTCCTAATCAAGCTGGGACCTGTTGCACTAGGCATGGGTTTGCTGGGAGGAGCCTGGAGGTCTGCTTCAGGGGATGTACCCACCAGGGAGAAAAGGGGACTTTGTAAAGCCACCGCATGAAGGGGGCTTGGGTAAGGATACACATCAATGCCATTCTGGGAGACCAAGTCATTCTGGAATTTGGGGTCCACGCTGAGCAAGTGCATGTCTCCGGCATGGCACAGAGGCAACATGCAATTGGGATCTGCCTCTTTCTGAAATCTAGCGTCTGCTGGAATGAGTCTTTCCAAGTCACCTACACAGTGGATGAAAATAAATAACCTAATTACATCACAGACAATTACATTCAAACTGGCATTTTCATATGCTGAAAGTGCTATTTCAGAGGGATGTGCTAGCTTTTACTAAAATCAGTAGCATGAATGAAGAAAATAGTTTCAGCCCTTCAAGATCACTGAATTACTTAAAGGCTTTTATTCACCTGAGCATAATGGAGATCAGAATGCCTTTTAATGCCAATAATAAAACTCATGCCTTTGCAGGAAATTTAAACTGTGCTACTTGGATGAAAGTAAATCTGTGCATATATAAAAATGTTCTAGAATGTCACAGACTAACAGGAACCCAACCAACTAAACAAAAATAAGGGATTAATTTTATTTCTTAGCAGAGAAAAAAAGTGAATCCAACAACCAGAAAGCCCGAAGCTGAATGTCATGTAAAATTATCCAATACAACAGACACAGTTTTTGAACACTTTCCCCCAGGACAGGATAAAGACTTCCTCTGGATATATGACTATAACAGCATGCAGAGTCAATGGTATTTTATTTTAAAGTGGTTAAATTTGAATTCCAGGTTTTCCTCCAACCCTTTTATATCATGTCTTGGAAAAATCTATAGTACTTTAATCAGCCGCTTTAAGAGAACTTAAGCAGACACTAGGTTACAGTGTTTCTTAACCTCTTAAATGCTGGAAGCTGTAGTTATTTATTCTTTTGCATTTTGCTTTAGTAAGGCATTAGTAAACAGAAGCACTCAATGCACACAGGAGAGCCATTAAGACTCACGTGTCCCATAAGCCAGAGAGTGATGTGATTCTACTTTTCCTTAACCCCAAATCCACTGAAACCTCCTAACTGGATCTCTCATTTCATTGGATAACTTTACCAGTCTCATGCCTTTCTCAAGTAAATAACTTCTTATTTAATTCCAGAAAGAAATATTCAGAGATTTTATGAAAAAGCAGAAAATTAGGAATGCCATAATTCTATGTGTGGGTTTTTTAAAAGTCAGCCTTAAGGATGCAGAAGAAAGGACTAAAGAACCGTTACTTTGACAGAGGAAAAAAAAAAATCTAAGGGTAACTACTCAGGCAGATTGAAGGCACAGTCCCTGATGATGGCATTTATGGCCACCAATTAAGATGTCTTAAATTTTGGAGTACTGTCAAGGTTGCTGTAAGTTACACTTGACTGCTGCACCTTCCTCTCAGGAGCATCTCCTGTGTGCTGAGAGGACAGGCTGTGTTCTTGAGTGAAGCAATACTGTTCCATCCAGACAAGTCATCTGATATAACGCTATGGGGCCATGTTACCTCTGGTACCAAGAGTACTGGAACCATCTCCCGTTAGCTTGGATTTCTCTGTACAACAGTGCAGACTGGCTGATTCATGCTACCAGGAAACCCAACCATCAAATCCAACCACATATTTCACTTACAGTGACTATTTCTGTCCAGTGACAGGAAGCTTTTGAAAGACTTCAAAATTTGGCATTGTCTGCAGTGTCCTACCTAAGGCACTTACGGACCTGCTACCACAAAGGTTAGGATGATGATTTCTCAAACAACCTATTTTCATAATGAAAATTCTTTAGGACATTGTTGGCAGTGTGTAGTGGTGGTGTCTTGTGCAAATAAATCAGGAAGATATCAAAAGAATGCTGTTCTTGTGGTGTCTTCAGCAAGCTTTCCGCTTGCCACTGAAAGAAAAGGCAGTCAGTTTACACCTACAGTTACCTGTGGGGACAAGCTAAGGAGAGGAAAAGAGAAATTTCTTCCCCTCTCCAAATGATGCTTTTCTGAAGTAACATTTTGCCTTACTTCCTGCAATGTGAGAACTGTTTCTTCAAGACTACACCCACTCTTACCCCACTACTTATGTTTCTCACACTGAAGGAACTAAGAGGTTGTAGACTGGAAGAAGGGAGGAGGTGGTGGAAAAAGGAAGGAGGGCTGAAGGAGGTCTGTAGCCTCACTCCCTACTTAACATCAGCTATCCCTTTTTCTGCTAGCCTATCTCCATATCCAAAAAACCACAAAGCCCCTGGGGTCTTAGCAAAATGTTGCAAGGCAGGAAAGTTTCTGATAGAACAAGAAGTCTGTAATCTGAACATGGAAGCCATGGATCATTAAGCTCAGCTTCATCCTCAGCTTCTGAGAAGCCTTGAGAAGACTTTGCTTTTATGATACAATTTACCACCATCACTTCAGGTGTGTCTGCACAGGTAGGTACAGAACAGGTGGTCTTGCTTCTGCTCCAAGCAAGCAAGAGCTGAGCTAGCTCTAGTCAATAAGCTGTGGGAATGACTCCAGAGTGACACGGTACTTGAAACGATGTTCCCTACAGCTTCCCTGTTTCTATAATGGCACTGTCACAAACCTGGCTGGGTGCCAGTTATGAACTGCACTAACACAAGGTGGCTCTGAGGCCATGGAAGGACCCAAAATAAGTGATATGATATCACTTCACAGATAGGTAAACAAGAGATTGGGAATGTTAATGGATTTGTCCATTTTGTCCAAAGGTATAATGCAAATTCATGGTTGATCCACTGTTAGGCTCATGACTGGTTCCTAGATCGTCAGTTAACCTTTGGTGTCTGTTATCCCTAACGGTACATAACAAATTATGAAAGGGAGTATCATTTCAGTCCACATTAATTTGAATAATTAGGGCAAGGTGTATATATATATTATCATACACATTTTACAACAGATTGAGAAAAGAGGCACAAAATCTGGAAGTGTCTCTCTTCAGATTTCTGTAAAATCTTTCTCAGTAAAATGCATCACCTCTAATTTTGAATTCACCTTATATTTTTCATATATCCCTGCACCTTCACACAAGGTATTTCATATACTGCAATTTTTCTGACTTCACAAGCAGGTAAAGTAAAAAAACCTATCTCAACATTCATCACAATTTTTTCTCATGCACTTAAATATTTTTTCCATCTCTAAATGCATACACCCTCATATTTGTTATTGTTTAAAAGTATCTGAGTATGGAGACAAGTGAAAGTTGGACAGTAAACCGTTTGGCTCTGTGGTTTCAATTAATTCTCAGTTTGTGTATTAAAAATGAGTGCTATATATTGATTACACATTGGTATATTAGATCCTAAAAGTAATAACCAGGATTATGCCCTTCTCTTGAAAGAGTATCCAGTTCTGCAGTCAATTACCTGTGGAAACTGGCCTCGGTCGGGACCTGGCAGGAGTACCAGAAATGTCTGTGCTAGCTGTAGCCCGACATCCATCGCTGACATAGGTTCCCTGCTGTTGGAAGCTGGTGGTGTGCACAGTAGTTTCATCTGCAGACTTGGGTCGGTAATAAAACACACTGAGCCTTGCTTTAGGGTGTTGAGAGCCAGGCAAGAGACTCGTGTGGGAGGAGGAGATGGACTCACTGTACACAGAGGTACAAGAATTGGACAGTGAGCAAGAACCACCGTCGCTCAGTTCATAGAAGCCTGCAGAGTTAAAACAAATAGGAATGTATTTCTTATTTACAGTAACTAAACATGCTCTGTAGAAGAAAAATGCAGGTTATAAAATAAATCTTCATTCACTACATGCCACAGGCCTAAATTTACGATCACTTATTTGGGTAACTTAGCAGAGGTATACTCTAATTCAACAACCTTTTATTTGGCTTCCGCACATTTACTTAGGCCCTGAGCCAGCTTGGCACGCACATGCATGCTTAGCTCTTAGGGTGGGATGGGGTGAAGTGCAGCACCATCACGCCCAGTTGTTCATTGGAGAACCTCTTTGGGGACTATTACGCAACTGTGTAAAACAGAGCCGTCTTATGCTGTTGTAACTTGTGCTAGGTGCATACAAGCACAACTTGGATAGGAAAGTAGCATAAAACTAGCCTGTGATCAGAACTGCCAAGTCTATGATAGCTGGAATGTCTAAGGGCAGAGAATGGAGGCTATCTTCCCCCTCCAGGTCTTGCGATCATTGCCAATTAATTATGGAAGTATTAAAAAAAGACTCTGTATAAATTCAAGATAGGTATTTTTATTATTCCTCTCTCTGCAAAGTAAACAGAAAAGGAAGCTGTTTCCTTTTGAACTGTGTGTATGTGCCTAAGCGCCTAAGCGTACAACTCCTCAATTTAAACACTGAACAGAAACTTGCAATTTTTATACCCGCTCTAAGTACCAGGCTACAAATCTGTTTGCTGTAAATATAACAAAATCTTGCCTTGTCTCACTGAAGACTTGAGGCTTTTCAAAATTCTGTTTAAAAAGAAGTATTCCCATTGTCCCAGATAATAGAAACTGGTTTTAACAGACATCCTAGCTATAAAAGTCTGCAGTACAGCAGGCTCTGTGAATCAGACCAGAAACCTGAAACTCAATCTCTTTCTGTCCATGAGAGCTTTAGTCATCAAACTGTTGGGATGGCTTTTCTCAGTGCCTTTTAATAGAGCCGTTTCATTTTTATATAAATGATCAAACAGTCATTTGGCCAGAGCATTGCAGTGGTAGTGACCTTCACAGCCTTAGGTTCAGGACCCTTCTTGGATTCAACCAGAGCATTGACATGGATGTTGGTCTCTTTCACTTCTAGTAAGTACTCTAGCCACTTTGCTGATGGCTATTCTACATTGGACAAGGTAATTAATTAATCAATCAGTCTCCTCCTCCTCTGATTTGTGGCTAAAAAATGTCCATTTTAAAATAAAATAAAAAATCCAGAAAAAATACTGTTTGAATGAATAACATTTCCAACCAAGTCAACTATGCAGGAAAAGTCCCACCAGGTCTGTGAGTGTACTCTGTGCCAGATGACTTCTCCCCACCTCAGGCATGGGGCACTGTTTCTGACCAAACAATACAGAGAGTTTTGCTTAGCAGTTGACACCCTTGAGTTCTCCTAGCACCACACCCCTGGGAATAAGTGACCAAGTGCACATTACCTGAGCTGGGCCGGCTGTCACTATCCAAGTATTCACTGGAGGTCTTACTGACGTCCAATTTCAGCTCACTTATTCGCTGGTCTAGCTGATCCAGGTGGCTTTTCAAGCCAACATCCTGTCTCCTCAAACGAGACTAATTCACAAGTCAAGAGAAGAAGGAGGAAATGAAGAATAATCACAGTTAGAATCTCAGCAGCAAGGCATGAATTCAGGCCATCTGTGCCGGACAGATTATGCTCTCATGAAGTGTTTTGCTTAGCTATGGACTGGTGCAATTGTCTCTCTGTAACAGGACTGACATAATGGACAAATACAAGACGTTCTGTTTCTCAGTATATATTGTCTCTTGTCCAGCTGAACATGTTCTCAAAACTTTTCATACTGAATATACTTATTTTAACCTTTGGGGATTTTGTTACACCTATGAGAGGAACTGTATCTCGAAAAAGGATGGCAATCTTAACTAATTAACATATTAACATATGTACTGCATTTTGCCATACACTGCAGATAAACATTACAGATTGTCTGCATGAACTCTAAGATGCCACCTGATGAAGGGAAACCCCTGTATGTAAAGGTATCTTATTGCTACACAAAGTAAAGGCAGCATACTCACTTCTGTAAAACCCTTGGCTTTGATGACATCTCTTTATAGTTGAAAGGGTACACTGCACAATTTGTGGCATCTATTTAGCTGAAAGGTTTCCTTGCATGTCTCATGGCTAGATATTTGAACACATTTTATGCAAGGAGAAGGTGGCATTTGAATTCTGCTGTGAAAATTACTGTATTTAAAATAAATGGTGTCTCAAGCTTGTGAATAATCCTTCAGAAGCCAGCAACATGGTCCTTTGCCTACTGCAATCACTGGCCAGGCTGATCTGAGGTAACAGCTCCTGCAGTTGCTCCCCCAGTATTTATGCCATCAGCTTGGTGAGGCAGATGGCCAGGCATTAGGTAACAGCCAAAGAACCGCAGTTGGTTTCTGTCACAAACTTCTCACATGGCACTTGGCAAATTATCTACACCCAGTTGCTATTTAGGCAGCTTCTAATTATATCACACCTCACCATCCATCCAACAGTACATTACAAAAAGGTGGTCTCTTGAAGTTCGTTGTAAAGTTATGCTCACAGCCCTTGAGGGGCTGGGTTTCCATTCAGTAATGGTAAGAAAAACATGACTAAGATTATTCCTTATGTGTACATTTCAGATTTAAAAATACAAGTGGCAGTTCTAGCAGCATTTCCAACTGCAAATATGAAAAAAAAAAAATCTAGGTCCCTTGAACTAACTAAAGTATCTGCAAAATTAAATGACATGCAGAAAATCAAAATCAGTACGTACACATTTTCAACTCCACTTTCCTTATGTTCAGATTATTCAGCTTTTAATATTTGCATTTTTAGGTTTCTCCATAGCTATAAATACTAAAAGCAAGGAAAACTAAGATCCTAAGGTAATCAGTAAATGATTAGAAACTGGGATTCAAGGAAAAGAGAAAAAAAGACAGATGTCCTCAGTCTCACAAGACAACTGTTACGGCTGGCGATGCTGCTGAGAAGAATAAAAAGGTATTTCTAGCATGCTTTTATAGAGAACTGGAGGAACATATGAGACGTAAGAAATAAAGCCCCTTTTTGTTAGTGCTGCACATCTAGAAAGGTTTAAGCTCAAGAGGCTCATTACTGCTTCCTAGGAAAACCTGCGGTGATTTTCCCTCTTCCTGTTTCATATAAACAAAAAGGAAGGGAAGAACTGGCTAATAAAGGAGATTTTCTGTCCCATCTGAATGATGAATGTGTGACCTCCTCAGTACTTCTTTATTTCCTTTATGGTGAAAAAGCAAAAACACACCATGCTTTCTTCAATCCCACCTACTCAGGAAATCACAAAGTTTTGTTTTCACGGCTGGAATTAATTGCTTAATGATTAATGTTTTGCCAGCCAATCCCTCAGTCTGTGGTTTCTGATTAATGACAGAGAGGCCACAAGGCTCTCAGGTATTCAAAGATTATTTATTATACCTCCAGGTTCTGTCTGCACTTTCACAGCATTTTAACCCACACACATGATTTACATCATTTTTAACCCTTTTATGGTGTCTCACACCATTGAGTTTTCATGTTTCTGGCAGACTTCGTAGCTTTGATCTTTCAGTTAACTCCTTCTGCACTCCAAGACAAGAAGCATTCCTCAAACCATTTGGATAAGGATGGCTTTTCCGGTGTGTTTGCTTGAGGTTGTTATTGCTCTAATACCCATGCTAAGCAGCACCCAGAACAATAAACTCTTTCTCAATTCACAACATGAATCTGACATGAGACAAAACCTTGCAGGTGAAACCATCTGTTTGCTTTGGGCAATGCAGCTGTGAAGACTTCTGTATACTGCATAATGCAGGAACAGACTTTTCAGACCAACTTGTACTATTGATGGCCTACAGTTTTTGGGAGCCAAATCTGGGACATTGTCATACCACTCATTTTCCAGAAAGAACACTCTCTGAAAAGCAGGTTCCTTTAAGTCAACAAAAATTGGCACCCCAAATCAAGACACCAGAAGCCATTGGTCATACCTGACTAGTAGTCTCAACTACTACTATCTTCACTTCATTTAAAGGAGGGGTTGATACGTATTGGTTTTTAGCACCTGATAATTTTATTAATCCAACTCTATTTTAGAATGGACAAAAGAGACTATTAATCTTATCTAGTTTTGCATATCTAAAATCTATTCGCCCTTGGGTCTTTTCATAACTGATGGTGCAAAGCAGCCAGTTTCAGAGGAAAATTCATCTTGCCTATCCCAGATACTTATTCTAGAGTGAGGTGAATTCCTTCCGGAAGTACCTCTTTCTCTCAGCTGACAATCAACCAACTTGTATAAATATGTTCTCGGAGGGAACATCTGAGAAAATATTTGATGCTGCAGCCTTAGATATCCATCTACTCTGACAGTGAAAATGTCACAGATTTCTTTGTATTAGCCTGAATTTGCATCTCTTCTTTTTCCTGTATGTCCCCATGATATAGTTTAGCCAAGCGACTAGTTTAACACCTTTGGGAACCCTGACAGTAGATGGCATCATTTAAGCCTGCTTCTCTTCTGCTACAGAGAGTTGATCCTGCCTTAACCATGGTAACTTGCAGCTGCCAGAAGAGCCCCTGGCCACCAGAAAGAGCTGGGGGCTGGGGCAAAGAAGGACACGATTGCTAAGGGTGGCAGAAAGGCTGCAGCCTTGCTGCCTATGGCAGACTGCTGGAAAGGCCAGATGCTGGCTGTTGCTGATACTTATTGTTGGGGAAGAGATTGGGATGCTGGAGCAGCATCCACACGTGGTCCCTACAGCATTTGATGGCTCTGCTTCACCCATTCCTGATAGTGGCACTTGACTCCTTAAGGGTACTGCCACTCTTCTTCTGTTTCTCACCATTATAGGAGAAGCCTGGCTTGACTTTTTATCTGCTTTGTTTCCATTGCTGAGATGCCTCGAGCCAGCTCCAGCTGATACAGCTTCCCCCTTTCACGTTGCAAGGACCAAACTTTTTATGAATTAAACCATGACCATGCTAAAGCCCAGGGCTACAGCCCTATTTGAAACTTGGAACAAGATACAGTGCAAGGCAAAGCTACGTTTACATTGTTAATGAGTTTCTCAGTCAGAAAGCTTATAGAGCAGTGATCACATACTCTATCATCCATGGGCCAAGAACAACAACGATGAAGACATAACACTCCCTGAGCAATGCTGTGTTTTGCATTTGCTGTTGTTCTTAGTTTTAACTTAATTTCCCGTGATCATGAACAGAATTTTCAAGGGTTTTGAGTGTAATACGCTGCTCATGAGTCACCAAGAACCACCTTTCAGCCTGTGGTCGCCGCATTCCTAGGATCTGTGGACTACTTCTAACAGGACTGTGAAAAGCCTGTTTTCAACTGGGTTTACTTTGCTGTTAAGCAGCTTTGAGGTATGCACCTCTGCTCAAACATATGTCTGCAATTTGCAGGGGGAAGAAAAAAACCCAACAAAGGTACCAGGTACGCCAGTCTGAAAAGCTTCCAGCAGCCACGGGTCAATTGGAAGAGCTTTGTATCACTATTTTAAGCATCCGCACAACTGTATTTTTGCTGAAGAACCTGCCCCTGGATTTATATAGTTCTGAGTCATCCCTCTCAAGCTTTAGGAACACTTCCCTCCCAGGCACCCCCAGAAGACACGTTTCCCATAATTGCACTGGCACCTACTGGTGAAATCCGTCCCTCTCCAGCGGTGTGCTGAGTTATTCTCATCCTCCCGACTCCTGCATTTCTAGGGGCAGCAATTAAAGGTCATTCTTTTATTCCATTTTAATGGCTATTTTCTCCCATGTCCTTGGAAGGCCTTGTAAGGTGTCAGTAAAGTCCTGACAAGCTTATCTTCTATTTTCATCTTTTATTTGAAAAATATATAAACAAATGAGTAATTAAAGCACAAAGCTGACATGAAAAAAGAACAGTCAGTATGGCCAGAGGTCATTGGGTGTTTCTGGTAACCCAGTGGCCCCAGACAAGCAATAAATGCCTTCAATTCTTCTGTTTAGTTAAAAAAAAAAAAAAAAAAAAAAGTAGTACCATTAGTTAAAATTATCAATGACAGGTAATCAAGTGGTTGGCAGTCCACTTGTCCTGCATGTTTTTAATCAAGATACACACGCTGCTGTGTTTTCACATGGTGGGTAGGTATCCCTGAAGGTTAAAGCCAATTTTATTCTGAGATGTTGCCAGATAAAGCTGGCTATGGGGAGCAAATAACTGTACTGTTTTCACACCTGATTGATAACTGATGACCAAGCCTTGTACCAGTACAGGGAGGGAAAAGGCTCTGAATTAACTCTGAGTTTACTGAAGCGTGTAATTGCCCATAGTAAAGATTAAAGCCCTTTACCCTTTGATTGTTGTCTCACCTATGAAACTCGTTTCAGTCACAATTCGGCATTTTTCTTTCTTTCACAAAAAACCCTGTGCAAGCGGCCGGTGTAACACTTCAAATACAAGGCCTGGCATTCAGTTACTCTTCTCTTTTGATCACGCAATCCGTGGCAAGAACAAAGTACTCCTGGCCCACGAACGCCTTCCAGGCGGATTGAC